TGCCCACCGGGCCTGTGGGGACGCCCCAGCTCACAGTCACGTTGGCAGGACGTCCCACCTGCTGCTGGCATCCCTGGGCTCAGGTTGGGGCCACGGGGCATCTGCGGAATGCTCCGCCCGTTGGCTGCATTGACAAGCCTCCCCTCGCGACGCCGGCGTCCCTGGGCTTAAGTTACGGGGCATCTGTGGAACGCCGCCCGGTCAGCTGCGTCACCAAACCTTCTCCCATGATGTCAGCGTCCTCGGTCAGAACCGGGGCAACGATCCACTTCCCGCCAGGACCAACGCTGGAACCTTCCGTGCTGCTGGTAGGTCTGTCGTGCTGGAGGAGCTGGGGCTTCTCCGCACTGAGCGGAGCTTCCGGTGATCCGCGACCCACCAGCATCGCCCAGGGAGCAATGCCCCCGCTGGCCGCTGCCCCAGCCGGGACTGCCGACCGGGGGGCAGCAGGAAGAACAAGGGGAGGAGGAGAAGGGCAAGGAAGCCGGCACCGGGCCTCAGGAGGAGGCGCTCCTGTGGGTCCGGCTGGGGTTCTTCTGCTGCTGGTTGGAAAATACCTCCCCCCTCCCTTTCTCTCCCCCCCATCTTCTGCTCACCTCACATTCTTCACCAACAAAGCAGCCGGGACTCCGGCACGCCTTTCCAGCCAGCTGGGCCAATGGTCCCATGGCTGGCATCGCAGAGGCTGCTCTCCCTCGGGGCCGTGGCTTGTGGAAAGACTGACCTGCTCAGCTGAGGCTCTGGCGGGCTGCTCGCAGCGGGGATCCTGGGGCTTCCCCACGCAGTTCCCCGGGTACGGGCTCCTCAGATGGGGCCAGCCAGGGAAAGGGATTTCCTGGCCGCGCTTTTCCCAGGGGGCGGGGCACCTGGGCTCAGGGCCAATCAGGAGCCCTGCGAGGGGGCAAATCCGAGAGAGAGAGAGAGAGAGAGAGAGAGAGAGAGAAGCACAAGTGCCTCTCTCTGCCTCTGTCTCTCTCTGCAAATGGTGAAGGAGGCTTGGAGCCGCAGAGGAAGGCTCAAAAGTGTCCCCAAACCCTCTCGCTCCATCACCCCATATCGCCCCCTTTTCGTTCCTTTGCCCCCACGTCGCCCCTTTTCGTTCCATCGACCCCCTGAAAAACAAAATCGCCCCTTGGGGGGCGATATTGCCCAGGTTAAGAACCATTGCTTTAGTGGAAATTGCATTACCTATTTAGAGTAACAACTGGTTGCTATATAAGACCCCTAAACAAAAGCTAAACTTGGAATCTGTTCCATACGTTAGTAAAATGTGGAATCTGTTCCATACGTTAGTAAAATGTTCATAATACATCAACTGACAATCAAGATTAATACTTCCAATTGTTTATAGCTCCTATTGCAATTGTAACCAAGAGTCCATTGCCTTCTCCTAGGTGACTATTCTTCAAAAACCTCTATGATGTTTGTAAAATTCTGATCAATTGCTATAGCTAGTAGAAGCTATGAATTCCTCCTTTATGCTATTAATTATTATTGTTAATTGCTTTAGGATTTTCACGCTATTTTAAAACTTAATTTTTATGGCTATTATACTTCATTACTAGTCTTTTTTTGTGTTTGGTCTTACACAGTAAATACATTTTGATTGGTCAAAAAACTAAAAAGTTTTTGAAAACTAAAACTAAATATTTTCTGGTTACTTCAAAAGGTCTTCAATTCATACTCACAAACTACTGAGATTATAGTACTATCACCATTTCACTTTTACATATTAGAGAATAAAATTCTTACATTGCGTAAGGTGTGAGAAAATAAATTCCACAAATTTCATTTTATTAAAGGCCAGGTTTTCCTAAATATGTTTTATGTATTTTATGTTTTATATACTGTATATTTGTACGGCTTTCATACACTGCATACTTTATTACTGCTTGGACACATAACATTTGTGAAAAAAAATCTGATTTTGTGAATATCCTAGTCTCTTATAGCATGAGAAAAAATGTTTGGAATATGGAATCACTTTGTTAGAAATATCACTTTTTTCCATGAGTTCAAATGTGATACAATTTAATCCAAGTAGGAAACATCCTACAAAATGAACTATGTTATTTCCTACTTTAGTAATCTGAGCATCTTAAGCAGGATGTGCAAACCATTTACGCTGAGAACAAAATTTGATCTTCAAACGGCATGCTAGCAACTTTATTTCAAAAGACGGTACCATCATCAAATAAATTTACATTAATCACTTAAAATGATTACATATCCTATGCCTTCACTCACATTAAAATTACAATTTGGTGCTAACTTTGGGAAAGTTACTGCAATTAATTGCAAAGCTCTATAGAAAGAAAATGTACATCCTGAATTTAAGGATCAAATTTTTTTATTAAATACAAAATATATTTAACTTAGATTTAGCTAGTATCTCTGATTCAAGAACTATTTGATATATATTTTTAATTATCTGGTATTTTATAATGTACATTTTATATTTAAGAGTTAAATATCATTAATAAAAATAAACACTACTCTTTTCACCAGAATACTGATCTGTAAGCATATTTTTCTTACAATAATTTTTAATAGAAATAGGAAGGTCTGTTCAATAGCTACAACTTAATAAATCACCAAACTGGACAACTTTTGTCAGCTGAAAATATACTTCTTTCTGAAGGCATATGTAAAATCTAACTCTGCTATGCTTCCTTTCATCCACCCAATTTATTAAATAGGAAAATGCAACTTGCAACATTGTCTAAGAGTACTACCTATGTCAATTGTACATATTTTGAAAGAGCAGAGTTTAGAAATGATGGTTACAATTTTAAAATTAAAACTTTCCGTTTCAAAACTAAAAGTTGAATTTTTCAACTTTTAATCTATTAAAATCCTTTTGCTTTAGTAAAAATTGTTCAATTAAACTAAGCAACAGATTTTTTTGAAGGAACACACTTTCTAAAGTATTTGGAAAGCAGATGCTTGTCCTCATTATTATGAACTAATGTATGTTCTGTAATATTTGCATGGTTTGCCTAAAACTGGTGGCCTTTTTCAAAATTTTCTTTTACTTGTTGTTGTTAATTGCGAAGTCGTGTCCGACCCATCGCGACTCCATGGACAACGTTCCTCCAGGTCTTCCTGTCCTCTACCATTTTCTGGAGTCCATTTAAGTTCACACCTACTGCTTTAGTGACTCCATCCAGCCATCTCATTCTCTGTCATCCCATTCTTCTATTGCCCTCAATCTTTCCCAGCATTAGGCCCTTCTCCAGTGAGTCCTTCCTTCTCATTAGGTGGCCAAAATATGTGAGTTTCAACTTCAGGATCTGGCCTTCTAAAGAGCAGTCGGGGTTGATCTCTTCTAGGACTGACCGGTTTGAACGCCTTGCAGTCCAAGGAACTCGCAGGAGTCTTCTCCAGCACCATAGTTCAAAGGCCTCAATTCTTTGGCGCTCAGCCTTTCTTATGGTCCAACTTTCACAGCCATACATTGCAACTGGGAAAACCATGGCCTGGACTATACGCACTTTTGTTGGCCTGGACTATATGCACCATGGCCTGGACTATACACACTTTTACTTATATGCAGGGTTAAATAGATCAATTAACTGAAATAGATACAATGAATCAACTAAGCAACTGATGCTTTATTAACATATAAGCAGGAAGCAGACACATTAATACTGCTTCCTTCCCAAATGAAACATAGCTGTGCTTTTAACAGCTGCATCAGTAAGATAGTCCTATGTGAAGCTTTCATTATGTGTATTTCCTCTTTTAATAAATATATTTCTGACATGGATCAAAGGGAAATATGTAATTTTCTTAACAAGGTAAGGGTCCCTTCAGACTGACCTTACCTTCTAATGACTATGCTGATAATCTTTTCTTGGCAATAAAACAAGGATGTTTCTTCCATTCTTCTTCTTCTTCTTTTTTTTTTTTTTCAAATTTCCCAGCCTAGTTTGTGGCCTTGGTATTTTCTGGCAGTTTCCCATCCAAGTCTTAACAGATCTGATTTTTTAGCTTTTTTAGATCAGCTAAATTCAGATGGGGACTGCAGCCAAGAAATTAAAAGACGCTTGCTCCTGGGGAGGAAAGCTATGGCAAATCTAGACAGCATACTAAAAAGCAGAGACATCACCCTGCCAACAAAAGTGCGTATAGTCCAGGCCATAGTTTTCCCAGTTGCAATGTATGGCTGTGAAAGTTGAACCATAAGAAAGGCTGAGCGCCAAAGAATTGAGGTCTTTGAACTATGGTGCTGGAGAAGACTCCTGCGAGTCCCTTGGACTGCAAGGCGTTCAAACCGGTCAGTCCTAGAAGAGATCAACCCCGACTGCTCTTTAGAAGGCCAGATCCTGAAGTTGAAACTCAAATACTTTGGCCACCTAATGAGAAGGAAGGACTCACTGGAGAAGGGCCTAATGCTGGGAAAGATTGAGGGCAATAGAAGAAGGGGACGACAGAGAATGAGATGGCTGGATGGAGTCACTGAAGCAGTAGGTGTGAACTTAAATGGACTCCAGAAGATGGTAGAGGACAGGAAGACCTGGAGGAACGTTGTCCATGGGGTCGCGATGGGTCGGACACGACTTCGCAATTAACAACAACACAACAACAACAACAAATTCAGCTAACTGCCTCTAGTTGCTGTATATCTAGTAAAAAATTAATGATACTCTCATATGAAACTGGACAGTGGAAACAGGAAAGAAATCTATTTCTCAAATATGACTGAATGCTTAGTATAACCAGATCTCAAATCAAAAAAAGTGGAGCAACGTACACTATGGAGAATATCTGAAATCTTAAATGAATTTTACTTTTGCATTGCAAAGAAATACAAATACAGTTTTTCCTAAAGTCAGATGTTTCTGATCATGTAAGTGAAAGGAAATTAAATAACATTGCAATATTTTTAATTGTACATTCACCATCCATAATTCAGTAAGGACAAAAAACTCATGAAATCTAAGAATCAACACTCAGAACAGAAAAGAAGATAAATATGGAAAAAGCAAGTTTTTTACCTTTTTATCTCTGGTCCTTACTTCCCCATAAAAATCTAGGGCTTCTTGTGCTTTCTGAAACCTTCCACGATGTAACAAATAAGCACAAATCATTACACCAGTTCGTCCCTTTCCAGCTTTACAGTGGATTGCTGCAACATGATTGCCATCTTCACTAAGCCATCGATCAAGATCTTCACAAAAAGGTTTGATGAGCTCTAGCTGTGGTGGGTTGTGGTCTTCAAAAGGGTACTGTGCAACTATAAAATAAAAAATGGTATCATTAAATTGAAGCTAATATTGCTTGCAAAAAGAATCTGTTGCATAATTCCTTGAATAAAAAAATCTGAGTGTTTCTAAATCTAACTCTATTAGAGATTGCCATGTACAGATTATTTTAATAACACGGGCTTCACAACTCAAAATATTGATCTCCATTTCCTCCAAGAAACTCCCATGAAAAAAATCTATAGAGATACGGAAAACTGTTCACAATTCAGTCTAAATCTATCTGACCATTTAGGTTTCTTTAAAAAAAAAAAAGCCCCCCAAAAAACCAAACAAACAAACACAGATTTATACCCATGGCTTTGGTTTATATATGCATAGAAATAGAAGTAAAATATGATTGGGTATCATATGACACATATTTAAGTTTATTAGCTCCCTCTGTCAACTTTTGTATTTAGCACCAGCAAGACAAGTGGAAGAGTTTTTATTCTTTGTCTCAATCAACCATATGTGAAATTAATCAGTGGCCAAGATTCAAATGCAACTGAATTTAACAGAAAATGGAAGCTCTCTCAGCCAGGGAATGAGTGGGGAAGAATGAACTACATAGCATTAAGGTATAGTTTATGAATCACATTGAATCAAGTTTGTGGGTGGTAAAATAAATGTAATGAAACTGAGATAAGACAATTACCTTATTTCCTTAGTACAAAATTTTGTTGCAAGGTGTGAAATCAGTGAGATATATTCAGACAAACCAAAACCTACCAAGTTGGTCAGCAACAAAAAATATTTCACCACCAAATGTAAGAAAAAAGCCTGCTGAGTAACTTCAGCCTACATATCACTGAGTATCAAAAGTTCCTTAAAATCACTGAAAGTACCAGGAGACTGCTGAACTTTCTACAAAGCTATATCCATTCTTGCATATTGGCAATTCTTACAGGATAGATTCTTCTCACCCTGGCAATTTATCTGCATTGCAGTGTTAACAGCCCCTTAATTCTTTCTTGATAATGGTTGGGAAGGAGTTATATAGTTACATTTCTCAGTGACTAAGGCAATGTAGGAAAAAATCCTTTTGATGAGATCATTATTGAGAAGTTGTGGTACAACAGACACTCTTAAACAGAGGTTGTAAGCTTTCATGATATCCAGATCATGAAAAAATGAATACCTCATTCAGGCAAATGATTGAACATGTGAAGGGCTCAATCTGGGTACAGAACATGCTGCACACACAGGTCTCATACTTGCTCTAACCTTCCTCCCTTCAGCTGTAAATTTTTGAGAAGGGCAGCTGCTCTTAAATTCTGTAGAATTAATCATTAAGCACAACATGCAAAACAATATTCTTTATAGTTCTGATACATGAACTCTTTCTTTCTTTAAACAGTGATTTCCAGTTTAAAACTATGCATATTTTACATGTTTTTACAAGCAGCCTATTTGCTGCTGCTGCTGCTGCCCTTTACTGTTAAATATAAGCCCATTCCCAATAAGGCACAGAATTAAGGGCCCCTATCTTTTAAGGTCTTTAAAATTTTGAGAAATGTTATGACCACTTTCAGAAATAGCTATCTCAATGTGTGTGAACAAAGCAGAGCAATCATTTACAAAATAACTATCCCCTCATCATTATTTTATACCTTGCTCTCTATAACATCAGTCTGTCATGAATTTTACTGAGTCAGTGGGCACAAATCGTAGGAGAGGCCTCTAAAATGTTTATTTTCAATATGCCACAGGGACTAAATGTCTGGAGATGTTCTGCTTTGAACTGCAAGAGTCACAAAACCTTGTGCAGGCTATAAATATAGTGTTTCCCCTTTTTAAAAAATTAAAATAATCCCCAAATAATAAAATCCTATAGGCTATACAGCCCAGCAAGTAGCATATTGATGTTTTTTAATCATAAGATGGAAAACCTACTATGTCAAAGAGAACTACATGGTCACACCGCTACAAAAGCTGATGCTTTAACAAATAAATTCCTTGCTCACCGTATGCTGGGATATACAATTTATAATCCATGCATTAACTCTTGAATGCCCACTATGTGACCTTAAGAGTATTCCTAGACTACATATTGAAGTTATTTACTTATTTTATCTGTTTTAAACTATGAGCGATAAAATCTGAGCCAGAGAGCTGGAGGGGGGGGGGTGTTGGTAGGGGTTTCTCTTTCAAAAACAAACTTCTTAGGGATCTAAGATACCTGTTTTCTCTCCAATGAGTTGAATTTTACTATTGTTTCAAAGAAATTGTTTCAATTCCTCTCTTACAAAAAAGCTGATAGGGTACACTCTGGAGATATCATCACTTCCTTAGCTGAACTTCTTGTTGCCCTCAGAGGATCAAATTAAAATAAAGTGCAAATTCTGGCTATGAAGAAAATATTAGTCCTAATTTACTAACTAAAACTTACAAAGAACCACAAAATATATATCCTATATAACATTAACCTCTAAATAAGTTCAAAATATGGACAAATATATAAATATACATCTATTCAGAGACAGCTGAGCTAAGCAGCAGCTGGATAACTATCAGGCTGTGTAATTACCTTTTAAGAATAAGCAATTTCTGAGGAATTGGGGAACATAACTCAGCATCCCAAACTTCTAAAGGGCTGTTCAAACGGCAGGGCTAATTTTTAGTTTTTCTAAATTGTATGCTTTGGAAGTATTTAAGAGTTGGGGATAGGAATACAAGGGACTAAAAATGAAATTCTTGAGATTGAACTCTTGCATGAAGTTCTAGGAGATATTTGGTGTGCTTGGAAGTCATTAGGTCATGAACTGTTTGTGAAGAGCCCCCCCCCAAATAATAAAGGGGATAAAAATAAAAGGAAAACTGACGTTACTAATACTAACACATAACACTTCAGATCTAAAATGGAATTATTATTCAAGGCTCTGCTTGCTCTCTTATTTCTGAACTTATGAAAAATACAAAACAAACATACCTCTGCAGTTAAATTTGGCGGTGTCATAATGTCTTTCAGCACATCTGAAAAAAAGTTAAAATTGCATGAAGCATTATTTTATCATTTAGTAGGGGGACAAACTTATTACATATAGTACAAATTTCTTTCTACAATGTAATACGACAACCATAAAGAAAAGAGTGAAGCACTACTGGTTGAATGTTTTTTGTGCCTTATAGATAAATATAGATTTCAGCAAACCATTCAAAATCAACAGGACTGAAAAAACAGATTTATGATCAGTCCTCAAACTTGCAACCATTGCAGCATCCCTGCAGTCAAGTGACAGGCGCTTGGCAACTGATGCACATTTACAAGGATCATAGCATCCCAGTCACATGATCACCATTTACAACCTTCACAGTCAATTTCTGACAAGCAGTCATTGGGGAAGTTGACAGGAAGTCTTAAGTTGTGGTCACCTGATGACTGTAGGGGATTTGTTTAATCACACAATTAAATGCAGCTGGAACTGACGCCATTAAGTAAGATGTAGTCGCTTGAAGTTTCACTTAATGACTACATTACTTATTGATGGATTTGTTAGTCCCAGTTACAGTCAGAAAAAGAGTACCTGTACATTTGAAAACATAACAGCTATATACAGAATTCTTTCTCTTTTTTGTGGTATTAATATGGTAATCAACGTACACCTAAATCCTAATAAATTTATATACAAAGTAATAAAATTATAGTGCACATAAATCTGAAAATAATAGAAAAAATGTGATTATAAGAAAGATGAATAACTCAAATAAAACGTAAGTTCATATCACTGTTCAGTTATAAAGTTCCTAGGCAAATTTGAGACTCTGGTAAATATATATTCTTTCCTTAATAACAAATAAAAACAACTCCTGCTTAAATAAAACTGAGCTGAGTAGGGAAGCAGGTAAAATAATGGCCTTATTTTTATTAAACATCAAACCTAGATTTTAATATGAATATATTGAATCTTTTTTAAAAATTACACTAAGAAAATCAATATTAAAAATATTTTATACCTGTTTTTCCTAATAAGGATCATTAGGAATTAAACTCCAAACTCTCAATTACTTTACAGAATAAACTATCATAACTTATGAGTTATTAATGCTTTAATTCTCTTTTTACTCATTATGAAGTCATTCACTTTCTAAAACTAAAACAAGTTAGGTAACGTATCATTGCTTCTTTTCCTGATTTGCTCAACTATACTTTTTGATTTAAAAAAGGATTACAAATAGGATTCCTATTTAAAAAAACAGGCTGCGGAAGTGAAAAGCTGATGTAAGTGATCAGGCAGTGCCCAAAATCGCACCCCTGGTCCATGGAAAAAGTGCCCTTCTCGGAACTGGCATCCAAAAGGTTGGGGGCTGCTGCTTTGAGGATTTTAATACATTTAAGGCCAGTATATATATAGAAACTACATATAAAAAGCATACTTACAGATTGTATATCTTGTAATGGTTTTTATGTTTTGAATCCAGAAACCTTAAAAAGAAAAGTCATAGGTTAAACTCATTTTGATGCTATTTTTTTTAAAAAATAGTGAATAAAATATGTGCATCACTAAGTTTGAGAGCAATTTTGATCAAATAATATTTTATGGATATAACCTATCAACTGCTGCTTTTCACTCCTATATTTTTTCCCTGAGTTATAAGTCTAAGAAAATGTTAAATTTTACTTATAATAAAACTCTAAAAAGTATCCCTGTTACTGAACTAAAGGAAGTTCAATTTCTAGCACCATCTATACTGAAATTCAATTTTAACTTTCATACAATCTGTCCAAAATGAAAATAAATTCAACACAACAGAAAACAAAACAGAGTCAGCTTTAAATTTATCTGATTTTAATAGGAAAAACCTCAATTTCAAATAATCAGGTTTTTAAGCAAAGATGTGGTTCTATGTATTTTAATTACATTAATTACAATTAAATACAGAATGTGGAGTATTAATGTCCCCCCACTATTCTAAGAAACCCCAATATTCAACAATTATAGTTAAAATCTGACTCATGTGCTAAGTCACGGGTGTCAAACTTGCCACGTCACAAGATGTGTCGTGACATATCACGGCTCTTTTTGCATTGCCGGCAATGGGGTGGGTGCGGCTTCAGTATGATGAAACCAGCCCACGGGCCGGCAGTTTGACACCCCTGTGCTATGTGGTTACTGGTATTTTAACAATTTAAATAGTTTCTTCAAATGCTGGGACATTGCATAATTTATGCAGTGGCATATAGCACTGCATCATTTATCAAAAACCACTCATAAAATTTATTCTACATATTTAGACAAATGTGATTATTTCTTACATAATCATAATCTACCTTCATGAATCAATATTTCTCAAACTGAAAAAAACTTAACAGAACCAGTTCTTAATACATCAAACCTGAATGAGATTTAATAGAGGCTAAATAACTGAGAGTTTAAATGGGGAATGGGGTCTAAGTTTCTTAAGGCAGAGATGTCAATTATCTAAATAACCAACAGTTTCAAAACTGAAAAGTCCAAGGAAAAAAAATCCGTAAAGTATGAGGAGGACAGGACAAAGAAACACCAGATTTAAGCTGTAGTTAGGATAAGAAAAGACTATATGCTAATGATGGTAGAGAAAATCAACTGTTTATATTGGTTTCATGTTGGTATGCAATAAAGATTCCTATTTAGTTTTGTTGAGTAGACTGTCTGGGAAGCTTTTGCTGAATTCTATCTTAGATCCCTGACAAAATCTGTATGCTATGGTAAATCATCAATTCAGGATTTCAAATTTATTTATGATTCTTGTTTTCTTAGAAGTAATTCAATCAACATTGTTAGTATTAAGGTAGCTATTTAATTGTGACGTTCATGATATTTAACTATTTGGATGAATTGATTAAGCTCTATGCATGAGTACATTGCTACTGCACACTTGAGACAGAATCAATTGTTTAGTGTTACTGCAAAATTGGACAGAGATACTTGTTACACATATCAGCTCATAAATTATTATAATTATTTCACCCATAAATCCCAGGGAAAAATTTTATACAAATGTATTCTTATAGCAGTGTACTGAAGTACACCCAAATTCTTTGTCCTATTATCAAGTTTCAATTTTAGAGTCATAAATAGTTTTAGTACATAAATAATGCAGTTTTTATATAGAATTGCATAATTATTTTACTAATTTTATCTTGAGATAAAGAATCAGAATACCATTCCTCAAATTCTAGATCTCCTTGTCCAAAATATTGCTATACTATTATATATGACAGCATCTCCCAACCTTTTCTATGCCCCACACCCCTAGAACTCTTCTGATATATTCTCACACCCCTTACAAAAGTTTGAAATAACAGCAACAAATTATGCACTATAATTTTGAAAGCCCAAGATTTTGCATCCCCTGGAATATCGTCTCGCACCCCTGGTTGAGAACCCCCGATATATGATAATTAATACTTTTCCAGTACTTTTTTTCTCAACAATTTGCTATCATAACAAGTTTACCATGATTTTTTTAAAAAAGCATGTTTTTAACAAATATATTGTAGTAATAGCAAGCTGAATTGTAGGAGATTTTAGATTTGTATTTAATTATTTATTTTAATTTTTATTCTAAGATGGCGGCGCCTGGGTCAGCTGTAGCTGTATTGGTTCTCAAAGGTGAAAAGTTTTTGGAGGGATATAGGCCACATGATCAGGAAAGTTTTAATGTGTTTGAGCAACATGGTGGGACTAAGGTAACATATGATTGACAATCTTTGCTGGTATGGCAATTTTTTGGCTGTTTCGGAACTGTTGGTGAGACTAACAGTCGTTTGCGCTGTCTGAAATTGTTCTGCTGGCAGCAAGATCTGACTGCTGGCCCAGCGATGGATTCTACTGCAAATCAGGGCTGTTTCCAAAGGAGGCAGAGAGGCCCCGGGGCTCATGGATTAAAGGAACTGGATGAGGCTGTCAGCAGGCCCAGAGGAAGAGAGAGAGGCTTTTGGAGAAGTTGGTGGTGGTGGCAGCGTGTTCCAGGAGCGAAAAGGAGCGAGGCCCCTTTAAGGAAAAGGTGGAAGAAATAGGATCAGAAAAAGGAAAGGAGGAGAGGTTGTCGTGCTAATCACATGGAGCTCCATTTCTATCTGTCCTATTTGCCATCATTCGCTCCCTAGAGACTAAAATGGACATTCTGAAATTTGAGCTGGCCATGAACAAGGAATGTATATTGGAGGTGGTGACCCTTTGAGAGTTGTATGCAACGAAATTTCATTCTGATGTATGCCGATTGATGTACATTCAAAGTGACAATAAAGTTGTTGTTATTATTATTGTCAAACAGATTACTTTTAAAGTCTAACTTAGTTAAAAATTGCATCAGCATAATAATGTTTTACTCACTTTGGGTATATACAAATTAAACTAATCAGTAGATATAATCTGAAGTAATAATATATATTGAATCTTTTTTTTTCAAATATCCATTATTTGCTGAAATGTAGTTCATGTAAGTGAAATATGTCCAGATTTGATCTATCCACTAAATATATTTGCACAGAATTATAACTGATTCTTGTTCTTTTGCCACCCTTTTACTACCCTCTTCATAGTCTAATAAGCTTGACTGTCACGTTTCTGGATGTGAAAATGAATCAACAGAAAGCTGGTAAGTCAAAACCACAAATGTAACCATTGTTTAATAGCTCTAAAATAAGAGTACTTATTTCAAAATTCTTTTGTTTACTCTAGCTATTTTTCAATTAATCAGATGAATCAGGTCTTTGGAAGAAAGGTACCCTATTCTTCACTTTTGCTTTTTAAAGAATTGTTTTATCCTTTTTTAAATTTCTGTTATCACCAAGATTTCTAATAAATGGATACAAATAAAATACCAAAATTCTTAACATTTCCTACCAGAAATAGTATTAATTCTGTACATGAAAGAGCAGATTGAGTTTTCTTGTACAAAAATATTTTATCACTATTATTATACCACTAATATTGAGTGGAACTAGTCACAGTGAAACTTTTATTTTCAAATTTAAATCAATTATAAACTGTTAGACCTTCAAAAATCAGATAGCAAGATTCCAAGACTTCCTGTTTCAAAATAAGCATCTGATGTATAATGTATGTATATTATATGCAGTATAAGGAATGTTGTTATCCATCTAATATGAATGAAATTTGTCTTGTAATTACAATATTTTTATTTTTTCCTTTGGAATTTTTTTTCTTTTTTAAATCTATGTTCTGTTTATTAAATATCAATTGATGATTACATGTATTAAGTCACTGTCAACCCTTAGTGGACACACAGAACATTTTTCCAGAATGTAATAAAGAAAGCAAAAACTTCTGATCTGAACAGAAAGATAAATTACTTTATCACAGCTTCTTCTTAAAGATAGCTAAAATAAGACAAATGGAATGGCATTGTGATATTAGTTTTACTAGAAAAGTAAGCAGTATGAACACTAGCCAGGCTAACCATGGTAAGAGATTGACCTGTGTAATATTTAAAAAGCCATCTGAATTGCCAATGTAGAGGCTATTTTTCCTTGAGGTCATGTTTATTCTCCAGGTTAGAACTGAAAATATGTGATGCAAGATTAAGAATCCTTGTTGGTAGACACATATACCATAAAAACAGCTTTGTCATGTCCCAGCTGAATGCATATTTAGGCATGACCCATTTGAGGGGAAAGTATTGCCTATAGGTAAAGGCATCTGGAAAAGCTATAAAGCAATTGTGTTGTGCTTTCTAGAGGACATGACAGACTTAATATTATGAGGGGGATTTCATTTCACAAAGCACGTCTCTGAAAGCTTTACATAACCCTAAATTAAATATGTGCTTCAAGAATCCCCTCCTCCAAATTATAAGTGTGATATAAAGAACTGTGTTTATATAAATCTACTCAGGCCTATAAATCATATGCAGTAAAGAAGATGCTAGGTCTGAGGGAACAAAAGGTTTTTTTTATTTTTGGGCAGATTAATTCATAGAACTACTTATTTATTGCCATTATCAATGGCATTTTATTTCTATGTTTTTATAATAATCCTATTTTTACCACCCTGCACCATACATATGTACTCCAACTGATGAAGTGGAATGATAAAGCTTGTATGATAATAAAATTAAGTAACCCTTCTGGTATTATAAAATACTTTTACTTTTAAACATCAAATTGTTTTGTACAAGTTTCAGTTCTCACAATGAAATGAAAGTTTTCTAAGCTCCATTTAAAAATAATTTATATTTAATACTTAAAACAAACTGAACCAAAAAAACATCAATAATAAAGGAAAAAGGAAAAAAAAATTACAATTTATTTCCTATATCTGTGGCCAGGCATTGAAGGAATAGATTCACAGATAGTGGAAAATTAAAATGGGACTGAGATTTGTTACACTTAACAAATTCATAAGAGAGAGTAATATTATTTGAAGCAACGAAATTCATTTACCACTTTTCTGACTTGCGGTTATTATGCTTTTACGTTTCAGTTGACAGGGCAGGAAGAAGCTAACTTTGATAGCTGAAAGGGCATTCCCATCAGGATTAAGGACTTCAATGGATGAGGTAGTGATGCAATTATTGAGAGGGGACAATGTTGAGGGGGGGGATATTTTTATATATTACCCCTCTCTCTCTCCCTCCCTCCCCCCCCTCTCTCTCTCTCTCACACACACACACAAACACACACACACAAACAAAACACAGAATCTAAAATAATATATAGGCTTTTTAGATAGAAAATACAGCACAATTTCCAAACTTTCTGAAGGAAATGGAAGAGACTTTCATGCTGTGGATAGACAATGGCTAAAATGATGATGATGAGATTAAATTCAAAGTTTAGTGCTTTCTTACCTCCACTGAATGTTTTCACAGAACAGAATCCAAATTTTCAAAATACTTTTATTCTCTAATCAATTCTTATATACTGACAGCATTAGATTCATTCATTCATTCATATCCAAAATTGTAAACATATTGACAAACCACAAAATATTAAGCTTGTCATTGACATACACATTGAGAATACATTCTTACCTCACAACGTCGTCAATATTGTTTCTGTACACGCCTTCAAGTCGTTCTGCCGGAAAACCCATTGCAATGATATTTGGATAAATATCTGAATATTCATGTTAAAGGAAATATTTACAAATTTTACAAAATTGCAGAATAATTGTAGTAAATACTTCAAATATTTAATTATATAAATTGAATTTTTAAAAATTGCTCAGCTACACCCTAATCCTAAACCAAGCATTTTTAATCACAAAGCAGTGCTTCCCTAAAACTGGTTTGTCATTTAATTAACTGTCCAACTTAAAAGCAACAGCACCTAAAGTGACTACTACAGTCAGCCCTCAATAAACAACCACAATTGAATCCAGGATTTTAGTCATAAGTTGTTGCAGTCATTAAGTGGGTCACCATGACTTGATTTTACAACTATCTGTAATATATTTTCACCACAATCATGAAACAAACCATACAGTTGTGAAGCAAACCACATGATGACTAAGCAAATTCATTCCCACTAATGGGCAGTTTTTGCCCGAAACCACGGGATACTACAACTGGTCATAAATGCAAGCCAGCTGCCAAGCACCTGAAATGCAATCATATAACCACAGAGGTAGGGGGTGGGTGGGTGACAGTCGTAACTTTGATGACAGATCATACGTAACTTTTAGGGACCTGTTGTACCTTCAAACAGTTGTTCAGTGATTAAGTAAGTAGTACATTGAACAAAAACTGTCTTCCCACATAACTTCTCTTCGAGCAACGTGATACAGAATTTTAAAAAATCATTTCCAAAGAATCTAATAAAACCATTGCCTTCAGGATGTATATTAGTGCTTATTTTAAATATATGTACTTAAGGTCAAACAGTATTACTGTATCATGACTGCATTATGAATACACAGGTATAACCTATCTCTAAACTTAGGAAAGAAGTTTACAACCATGTACATCACTAGAGATAATAACTATGCTCAACTAACCATTGAATAGCCAGCAACCCCCACAAGTCACAAAGCACAAAGTAGTACTGGAAGACTAATAACAAAACAGCCTGTCAGAATCTAACGTTGTAAGTAGAGGAATGTCTGTATTACAATATACTATATTTGACAAACAGACCTACCATAACAAGAAGATGCCATAATTATTGTAAAGGTAGGACAACAGGCAGGAGGTGGAAATATGAAACAGCAAGTATTCTCCCTATCATCATTTTCTTCATTTAGCAAAACACCACTGACTCCCAGTAAAATAAAAGAAACACAGCATGGACAGAAGAATGAATCTTTTCTCTTAATAGGATTTTTTCTCACTAAACCTTTTTACCTTGCTAAATTTATATAATTTAAATATGAGCAGAAGGGGCGTTGTCTTACCTGAACGCCTTTTCTCAGCACGGAGATAAAGAATCCACCAATGGGTTAGCTCTATCTTCCTGCCCATTAGACCAAGTCAGCCAAACTTGCCACGCCTGTCCTGGGCTAAGCCACACCCAGTCTTGACAAGGGTGAAATCAGCTGACGACAGTCTGACGTGTTGGCTCCCAGACCCCTAATATGGCCTAACTGACCTTAAGGGTGGGAGTGGATTCTCCATCTCCGTGCTGAGAAAAGGCATTCAGGTAAGACAACGCCCCTTCTCCAGGACCAGGGATGGAGAATCCACCAATGGGACATACCAAAGCCTCACTGTCCCAATGGGGGAAAAACAAGAGAAGGCTGGAGCCACGTCCCCAGTAGCTACCTGTTGAGGGACCCTCCTTCCAAAAGAAGCATCCGCAGATGCAAATCGGTCTATCTTATAATGCCGTACAAATGGAGAAGGTGAAGACCATGTCGCCGCCCTGCAAATCTCTTCAATAGAGGCCTGTGTGGCCCATGCCGTGGAGGTTGCAGCACTGCGAGTAAAATGTGCCGTGACATGTGGCACTGGCAGGGAAAATGACCGGTACACCTCCACAATGCAAGCCTTGCTATGGTTGAGGCGGACATCCTCTGCCCGCTAGAGGCATGGTGAAAGGAAACGAAGAGGGCTTGAGACTTGTGAAAGGGTGCCGTTTGCTTGATATAGTAGCGTAATGACCTGCGAATGTCCAGTGTGTGCCACTGCCGTTCCAAGGCATGGGACAGATTAGGGCAAAAATCCAGCAAAACGATTTCTTGAGCCCTATGAAAAAGGGTGTTAACCTTAGGAATGAATGTAGGGTCCAATTGAAGAACCCCCCGGTTTTGGTGAAAGGTGCAGAGGTCCTCCCTGACCAACAGTGCCACGAGCTCAGAGATGCGCCTGGCTGATGTGATAGCGACCAGGAAGGTGACCTTGAGAGACAAAGACCTCAGAGTACAAGTTCTGATAGACTCAAACAGCGATTTGGTGAGGGCCCATAGGACCCGTGGCAATTCCCAGGAAGGATACCTCTGTACCACGGGAGGTTTTGTGTTGGTGGCGCCCTTGAGAAAGGAGTGTATCCTGGGATGCTGGGCCAAAGGGGCTGAATTGGCGCAGGTAAGTAAGGTGGACAGAGCCGCAACCTGCCTGTGAATGGTATTAGGTGCTAAATCCGTCGAGGCCCTCGAGCAAGTATTCCAGGATGCTCGGGATTGTCAAGTCCAAAACATCTAGTAGCCGCCTCTCACATCAATTGCAAAAATTCCTCCATGTGGAGTCATAGATGCGATGTCAAGCCCGGGAGGGTGCTGCGGTGGAGGGTGTCGCCAGCCAACGGGAGGCCTGAATCATGGAAATCACTTGTGTCGAGTATGATTCCCCGGCTCAAGATCTGGCGCTCAAGTGCCAGGCAGCTAACTGCAGCCACTGGGGTTCTGGGTGTTGTAGAACTCCCTGGCTGAGAGACACGCGGCCCAGAGGAATCCTCCATGGGGAAGATCTGGAGAGATTCACTAGGTCAGTGAACCACGGCCTTCATGGCCAATACGGGGCCACGAGTATAACCTCCATCCGTTCCTGCAACATCTTGCGGATGGTCGCCGGAATCAGAGGGAGAAGGGAGGAAACACATAAAGCAGAGCCCCCCCCTGCCATGGGCATTGAAGAGCATCTGCTCCCTCTGCTCCCGGAGATGGGAACCGGGAGAAGAACCTCGGGATTGAGAATTTACCAGAGAAGCGAACAAGTCTACGACTGGTTGTCCGAACCTCTGCGCTATTTCCCCAAAGAGGCCCGGGTGCAGATGCCATTCGGAATGATCCACGGTCGACCTGCTTAGAAAGTCCGCTTGTCAGTTTGCCTCCCCCGAGATGTGTTCGGCCTTGAGGGAGGACAGGTTGGTCTCTGCCCAGGAGCCCAATGCCTGGGCCTCGGTCATCAGGGACCTGGATCAGGTACCCCCCTGCCGGTTCACATGAGCCTTTGCCGCCACGTTGTCCGTGAGGACTAGTACATGTTGTCTCGCCACCCTGTTGCGGAAGTGGCGGAGGGCCAGGTGTATAGCTCTGAGCTCCAACCAATTAATATTGTGTTTTAGGTCTGCTTGGGACCATTGTCCCTGAGCCAATTGAGACTGCAGGTGTGTTCCCCAGCCAAACAGACTGGCGTCTGTCGTAAGTCTGAGCCAGGCGGGTTCCTTGAAGTATGACCCTCTGGCTACTGCTGGCGAGTACCACCACCTCAGGGACCGCAGGATCTGAGGGGGAACCCTTACCCGTTGGTTGGAGGAGCTGGTGCCCAACCTTTGGAAAGGGAGGAGGAACCATTGGAGGTTCCTGGAATGCAGTCTGGCCCAAGGCACTATCGCAATGCACGAGACCATCTTTCACAGGAGCTGGGAAAACAGGACCAATGGTACTATGCGTTCCCTGCGTACTCTCAGGGCCCGAGTCCGGGTGCTGTCCCGACATTCCTGTGACAGGTATACCTGGCAGCTGAGTGTGTCTATGACGGCGCCCAGGTGTAAGAGTCGGGTGGAGGGAACAGTCTTGACTTTTCTGAAAGTTCACTGAAAACCTATGCTCCTGAAGGTCTCTATCAACGTCAGGTCTGACCGGGCGGCTTGAAGGGAGGATAACTGAATGAGAATGTCGTCCAGATATCACTAGACACACCGGTACCATTCGGAGGTGTGCAGCCAACACTGCCAGGACTTTGGTGAACACCCTTGGAGCTGATGAGAAGCTGAATGGAAGAGCCCTGTATTGGTAGTGATGGCCCACATAGCAGAACCTGAGTAACTGCCGGTGGTCGGGGAAGATGGAGATGCATCTTGAATTTTCGATATGCGATATGGTAATTTAGACCTTTGAGGTCTAGAATCGCCCTCCATCCTCCCGAGGCTTTGGGAACTACGAAGAGGATGGAGTAAAATCCCTGCCCCTGTTGACCGCCCGGCATCGATTCTATGGTCTTTGTCTCCAAGAGATGACGAATGGCCGCTCGCATGAGGCCGCTTTTGATAGCGTTCATTGATTGGGGCAAGGAGTGAAGCGCCCTGGGGGACTAGACACAAATTCCAGGGAAAGATTGTATTGAATGGTCTGACGGACCCAGGAGTCTATGGTGGTGGCTTCCCACTGGTGGGCGAAGAGTGCCAGCCTGCCACCTATGGGGGGAGCAGCTCGAGAGTCACTTGGATCTTCTATAGGGGTGACCCCCCCTCGAAAGGGCCGCTTGCTCTGGAATTGTTGTCTGGGTCTGGGGCCGGTCCTGTCTGATGGACGATCCTGTCTGGCCATGAGGGGGTGGGGGGGCTGAGAGCCCACGCCCGTTCCTGGCCGAAAGTACTACCTGTGGGCGTATGGGTTAGCACGCCTGTCGGCCCGTCTGTTGAGGTGGGCCAACACCTTCCGCTTGTCCTTATTTTCAATCAAATAAGGAGCCAGGGCCTCTCCAAACAGCTGACCACCCTGATAAGGGTCCGTAGCTAGACGCCATTTGGACTTTGGGTCAGCTTGCCAGTGTCTGAGCTATAGCATCCTACGTGCTGAGACGTTGGATGCTATGGTCCTAGATGAGAACCTGGCCGCATGTAGCATGGCATCTGAGACATACTCTGATGCTGCAACAAGCTTGCTCAGGTCTTGTTGAGTACGTACCTCCTCCAGGGGAAGCCTGGTTTGTAGTTGGCAAAGTCAAAGTAAGGAGGTC